ATAATATTTCTGTTTTCTTTTTCTGTTGTTTTCAGTGGCGGATTAAGACTTCTTGGGGCCCGGGGCTATTTTTGTTTTTGGAGGCCTTTTTATGCGCCAGAACCTAAAAATGACTAAAAAAAAAGGTTGTTTAAAATTTTTGGGGCCCCTAAATTTATAGCCCACCCCTTGATCTTGCACTGGTTGTTTGAATATAAAGGCTTTGGCCAGTTGATGTATCAAAGCCAACTTTGGATCTTAGTGTCATTGTTTAAAGATCTTCGAATGAGTCAATAACTTTTGCCTGGCATTCTGTCAAACGTAGTGCTGTGTGATTGACCAATGCTTGCATGTTGACTTCTGGAGCATAGTCAATGACAGTCTATAAGTTATATTCTGGAAAACAAAGTTCTTTTGCTTTCCGTGCATTGTTATAAGATGGATATAAATTACAGTCTTTTTATAAAGCATTGTTCCTTAGGCGCTGATAATCAGACTTGCTAATATTACTATCTAAGATGAGTGTTAAAACTTCGTTGTGAGTATTTTAAACATGTTCATAATTTTGAATTTTTGATAAATTTCTAATTACACTAGCATCTTTTCTTCTTACTTGTTTCCAAAATTTGCAACTGCTAGCAAACAACAGCTCATTTAAAGAAATCGCTAATGATTCAAGTTCTGCCACTTTCTGCTTCTTAGATTTATCAGATGATTCCTCAAATGATTTACCAAGCCTGCCAATAGATATTTAGGTGTAGTTTCTGTATTGCATATAGAAAAAGTTTATTGGGAAATAATAAAGTTGTTTCCCAAAAAACTTTTGCAAAACCAGGCTAAGTTTTTCTTCTTAAATTTATCATTGCATCGTCCACTTGCAGTATTTAAAGATAAACCTTAAAAAGTGTGCCTTAAATTCAGTATTTCCAAGTTGTTCACCAATAAAATTAAAAACTACCCGTTTATCTTTTTCGTAATATTGATAATTTCTTTTCTCTTATAAATAAATGGATTTGATTTCTATTAATACTTGACATAATAACAATAGTCTAATGTAAAAAATAAAACAATTTATCAACAAAATTCAGGTTTATAATTATTCATGTTGAAATATTTTCTTTTAGTTATTAAAATGTTAACTATAATTAAGTAGTTTAATTTTTGTATTAAGTATTCATTAGTTCTAAACTTATTGTATTATTTTACCCGCTATGTTATATTTAATATACAAAATTTTTGCAAATCAATGCAAATAAAAATAAAAGAAAGCAAGTAGTAGCACCTGAAATAATGTTTCGAAAATATGTATATACAGGCTTCAAAATATGTATATAATATAGCAGGATATTGCAAGACCTACTACTTTTTGTATTTTTTGAACCAAAAATTCTTCTAATTTTTTTTTAATGAAGTATTTAAAATTATTATAACTTATTTTTTGCTTACCTATTTTAATCTAACAACTCTTAAAATGCAGAAAATAGTTCAACAATAAAACAGTTTTAAATGCGCAATATTTAATAAAATGTTAAATTATAACTATAGATTTTGTAAACAAAAATTGTATCTATTTTTTCATAAATAAAATGTCTTTATTGCCGTACTTTAACCATCATATTTATCTACTTATTCATATTTTAACTGTAAGTAAACTATAAAATATTGATATTTAATATATTAATAATGATTTAAAACAAGCTTAACGTCAGACTTCAGTTTTTTTACTTTTGTCCAGTCACTGGCCCACTGTGCACTGGTAGAAATTTGTTGCGCATATGTCAAAATAGTTACGTTATTAATGTGATCAGGTAATTAGTCCTAATAAGCTGCGAATAACCTAAAAAAAATGATGTCTGAAACTTAATAAAGAAAAAAAAAAATAAAAAGCTCGTCCTGCTACTCTATAAGGTGCTGCTGTGGAGAAGAAAAAAAAAAGCCAGTTAAGGTGGTATCCAGCCATTATTTCTATTTTCTTATATTTTACGCATAATAAATACCATTTATGAATTACTATCATAATAGATAAAAATCTAAAACGTAATGCAAAAATTATTTTAACTTGAAAAAAAATAATGACTGACTTAGCAAAAAAAGATGAAAATGTTAACGTCCCAAGAACATAAATATTTTAAGATTACATCAATACTAAAGGTTCAAATTTTTCGAATTGCTAGTATGTTAGTGTAGCCTGTGCCTCAACGAAAAATTTTTAAAAAAAGTTTAAACGATCAAAATTGGCAGACTTAATAGTATAAAAAACTATTTTTAGCGATAAAACACTCATTTGGTATGGTAATTGTAGGTTAAGTTTACTCTTTTAATTTTATTTAGGTTCAGGCACTAAAAACATTATTAATGAACATATCCTGAAAATTTGAAGCTAAAATAAGGTTTTTTTATTGAGATATCATTGTTTTCTACAGCTACTCATTAAAAAAAAGAAAAATTGAGAAAAATCAATTTTAAAATTATAAATCATGTGCACAACTCAGATATAGCATGTGTTTGAGATATAGCATGTGTTTGAGATATAGCATGTGTTTGAGATATAGCATGTGTTTGAGATATAGCATGTGTTTGAGATATAGCATGTGTTTGAGATATTTTTTTTGCTATAAATTACGTACACCTTGATGGAAAAAAATTGTATTAAGGGGAGGATTTGACATACCTCCCTGTTTTGGTGCTTATTTACTTTATAAATTTAATATAGTCTTAATGAATGATTGTAATTTTTTTTTTCTTAGTCTTGAATTTTGAAAAACGCCGCAAGAAATGTCACGCTAATCGCTATCTACGTTAGAGATACTTATGTTAAGTATTTACGCTATGAATAAGGTTAATCTGCACATCTAGAACATTAAAAAGACAATTTTCTTTTTTAAAGAAGGTGCTTTTATTCAATTGAAACTTTTTCTTTTGAAATAAACAAACGAGGAAAGAGTTCTAATTAGCTCTAAGCATGTGAATAAAGTGCGCATTTTTTTTTTTTTGCTCTAAGAGCAATATTTAAATAAATTATTTTTCTATCATTTATTTAAAAAAACATTAAAGTGAAAAAGTAAATGATAGATAAATAGCTGAATAAGTATTAAAATAGAGGTAGGTGTTGTATAGATTATTGAATACTATACAGTTTTAATATACATACTTCTTCTTGTTAACAATATTAAGTACAAACAAATAGTTAAGATAACAAAATATGCTCCATAATAAAAGTATTTACAAGTTAAGAGTAGCGAAGAAGAAAGCAAAAACGCGGTCTTAAACGTTAATACATATATTGTACAAATAAGAAGCCATTGTTCGCGCTAGTGAGCACAACAGGTGTGAAATTAAGTCCACTAAAACCGTGGTTTATGGGTCATGACAGCTAGTATTACTTTGAAAATCATTATTTGTAGTCGCGTGCAAACAAAAAGCCTATTAAATTTGTTCGCAAAAAAAGTTTAAATTTTTTAATAGGTGTTCGTGTTACTAACGTAGAATAAATTTACGTATTTTGAGGCTCAACTCTTTTTAAGAGAAAAAATTTTTAGATTATGATGTTTTATTTAAAAATTGTTTTATATGTTTTAATTATCACTGTTGTTCAATTATAAGTATACTTATTTCTGATTTATATTTTGTAAAATTTTACAGAATAATAATAATCAATGCGTACATAAATTGACTGATATGGCCGTTGTCGGAGTGTAGTTACTGGCTGGAAAACCACATTAGAATTAAACTGTTTTTAGCAAAAAAAAAAATAATTTGGATTTACGAGGTTTTGACTTGAATTTTGGCTTAAAATACTCAAAAACTACTAAAATTAGAGTTATCCAGTTATAGTTGGATGACCTACGATATGTAACACGGTTTCAGATTGGATGTTTTCATAAACTGACTAAAAACAGGGTGTTAAAAGAAAAAAAAAATCCCTTTAGCAAACTTTGTAAGAGTTTGCAAATTATCGGTTGGTGAAAACTCCCAAATAGTATACTTTAGTGAAAAAAAAAAAAAAAAGAAAAGATGTTAAAATAATGCTATGTTAAGGTACATTGCAAGTACTGTGGGTGTGTTTTATTCAGACTTATAAGACGATAAGCATGATAACATTTTAACAAAAACCTCAAATGTTGGAAGAAAATGTCAAACCAAATCAATGCAAATGAAGCTGTTGTAACCGCTCCTTCTAGTAAATTAAAGGAATGTAAATCAGGAGGAGGTCAAAAAAATTGCCATCTTAGAAATAAGATAAATTTGATAATGTTGCAGAATATCAATGAAGTTTTAATAAAAACTATTAAAGTATTTTTTTAAACAATTATATCAACTATAGCGTTTTTCATTTCTCTTATCAAAGATAAGATAAACTTTGACATTTTTAAATTGTTTTTCAAACACATTTTCAAACAATTTTTTAAACGCATTCAATATTTTTTATAATTGTTTATAAAGTATTTACATATTTTAAATTTAAACTAATTCATTTTCATTTTTTTTTTTTTTAATTAACTTTTAGATGGCTTTGCAATGTGTTGATTGTACTTTTACATATATAGCTAACACCAAGATGGAAGCTCAGTGAAAGGTAATTAAAAACAGAACGACTAACAATGGTACTGTTAAAAGTGTTAGCAGCACCAAAGTGTATGCAACGGATCATTCTCTAACAGGAGTAAAGTATTATTGAAGCAAATTATATTTGTTGTTTATTGCTGGAGTAGAAATATGCATTTAAAAGACGTAAAGCCCGTGTGAGTATTGTTAATCATGCGCTTGTAGATTGGAGCATTTTCTGTCAAAATGTATATGAAGAAGAGATTGAGATTAACCCTAATGCTTTTGGTGAAATAAATAATAATGGTACTCCGTTTATTGTGGACTAAATTTGTGCAAACATCTGAATGACTTTGTAATGCACAAAAAATTCCCAGCATGCAGCGCCATGGATTTTCAGAAAATTCATAAATCATATTGACCACTTATTTAAAAACATAAAATTTAAACTTTTTACATAAAAAAAATTAATGAAATTAAAACTAAATTAATTATCTAAATAAAACAAAACAAATAATTTTTTAAGGCAAACAAAAAAACAAAAAAACACTGCCTTCTGTAAAAGTCACGTAAATCTTTTAGTTTTCTCGATTACATGAAGTGCTCCTGATGTTAAACAACATTTTGAGTTTTACCCGTGTTTGTCTTTTATAACTTCAACTGAAATTTCTTTTAGTAAGTTTTTGATTTTTTCGATCAACTCTAAATATAGAATCGTTTGAAAACTAGGAATAATCAATATTTAGAAGTGTAAACCAAAATAAATCGTTTTCAAATAGAATTAAAAAAAGAAAATAATCATAGTTATTGAAAATTGAAAGAAAATTGAAGAAAAAAGTTTTATTTGTTTAAAAATTTTTTCTTTATATAAAATACAAAAAAAAAAAAAAAAAAATTGTAAAATAAAAAACGTCTGCAAAACGTAATATAAAAACGAGTTTTGTGAGAAAAAAGAACAATAAAGAGTTTAAAAAAAAAAAAAAATTTAAAAAGGAAACAACAGTTTTAATTTTTTTAATTGTATTTGAAAACGACGATTTGTTCATTTTCGAAAATAAACGAATTCATAAATCTTTTAAATATAAAAATTCATAAATCTTTTAAATAAAAATTCTCTAAAAAAACTTAAGGCCGAAGAGATTAATGCTTCTTATATAGGCAATTAATTTTTTGAAAATAGTTAGATCATACTTTTGTGTCTCTCTTCTTTGCTTGGATGAACACTCTCACAACTTGTCCATCTTCTAAATGTGCACGCATCAAGTTGTATTGCAAAGTCGTTCTTAAATGGCGCTGCATTTATAACCTTCTCCAACGTTAAAAAACCAAACAATATGCAAATCAAGTAAAGCATTTTCATTAACTCAAATTGTTTTTGAGTTTCTTTCAATAAACATAACAATATTTTTTTAATTTTTTTGCCGGAGAGTAATTTTTTATAACTATTGGCAATAATATATAATTTTCTATATTTTATTATCCATTAAAGTTTGAGTAATAAAAGGATATTATTCAAAATAAAGTCACACATATAAATATATATTTATAGTTTATGCAATCAACATTTTCTGAGTATTTGATATTTATTAACAAATACAATATATGTATTTTTTAATGTAAATATTTATACGATTTTTATAAATAGATATTCTCTGATTTATCCAAAGTACAAGTTACAAAATGTAAAAAAACCCTGAATTTTTAATATTTCGAAAGAATTTAACTAGGAATGTTGTCATACATATTTTGTTTGCAAATCCATTAGTCTAGGAGTGATCATGCATTTGTTATTCCCAAAAAATTACTTTTAACAAATTATAATTGGGTATAATTTAACAAATTATTGGCCTCAAACAATATTTTACGTATCCTCTGCAATATATCTTTTTTTTCTATCAGTTGTCATGTTTACGTCGTAGGCAATAATATGTTGTCATATTTTCAGATATAATTTAGATATTTTGTTACAAATAGAGCAATTACGCAATTAACATAAAATTTGTAATTACATAGTTCGTTCAACAAGAAATAATTACTTTGCGCTAATGTGGTTTAGACAAATAATTAGTTTTCTATATTATTCTTTACGCTTATGCGAACTGTAGGCAGAATCAAATTGTACATTTCTGAAGGTGCAAATAATATGAACTTAATTTTAAACCTTTAATATATTATTGTTGATATTGTATTTATTGCTACTTATGAAGTTGTTATTATTAACGTAAATTGTGTATATAATATTCACACATAATCTTGCGTATAAAACAAATAGTAAAATTTGAACTCTAGTTACTATATTTTAGTATAAAAAGCAGTTGTTTACAATTTGTGACAAAAATGTGACATTACAATGTGACAAAAATTATAATGTGACAAAAAATATGGATATTTTGCTGAACATTTATAGTAATAGGAGCCTGGGGACAAAAAAACCAAACAAAAAATAGCAAAAGAACTCACGCTTTATATTCTAAAATGTTAGGAATTAAAACTAAAAAAAAAAAATTTTAATCTAATTTTCTCACATTTTTTACGTTGGAAAAGGGTTCATTGGAGTTTTGCTAATCGGTCACTTAATGGACCATCAGTGGGATCCACTACAAGTAATAATTTATATCAGATGCCACTTATGGGCAATAACTTTCCAATATGCAATATATTGACTTGTCATAGGGTAGCCTCGTTTACCTTTCATGGTCCATTAAGTAACCGATGAACAAAACTACAGTGGACCGCACAAAATTCTTATAAATGTCCACTGAAAATCCGCTAAAGAATGTTTGCTGAGGAAGTCCTTAACTACTTATATTTATCAAACGAATCTTTCAAACGAATCTTTCAAACCCCCTTCAAAATAAAGCAAAAATTTACATGAATTTGAATAGTCCATTTACATTGACAATTCAAATTTTTTAAAATACTTTAAAAGCAACTTATGTTTAATCATTCAAGCTGAATTTAATGGTTCATCGTCGAACTATATGTAAATTACAAAAAGATATCGAGATCAAACTTGTCTTACGTGAGTATGACGATCTTTTAAATTAATTACTCATTCTCGCCAAAAAAAATAGACTGGTTTTAGTTTGATCCCAGACATTAAAAAGTTTAACAAATAAAACAATGTTTGCAAGTTTTTAAGCGCAGATTTTGTGTAAATGGAATTTAATTGACAATAAATAAATTAATGAAAAAAAATTTATAAGTTTTCTTGCTTATTTCAAAATTTTTAAAAAGCAAGTCCAATCTTTAAGGCCAGGGCCGTTTACTTTGGACATAGAGCACATTTAAATTTTGATAACCCTTGTATTTTATAAAAAGCAATAAACAAAGAGAAGTCAGCTTAAATGAAGCTGCTTATGAATTTAGTATTCCAAAAGCAACTTTTTCAAGGCATACAAATAAAAAAACAAAACTGCTATTGCAAATTTTTTTGTTTTTTCATAGTCGACTTTCCACATTACCTAAAGAAATTGAAACAGATCTAGCTGATCATTGTTTATTATTAAAATGAATGTGCTTCGGATTGAGGATTGATGATCTTTGTCGTCTAGCATTTGACGTTACGGAAGTTAACAACATCATAAATAATTTTATTAAACGAATGATAGAAAAAAAATTTATTATGAACTATGAATTTATGCAAAGGTACCCACAACAGTTGCTTTGTGAGCCTGAATCAATTGCACGTGCACAAAGTTTTAATAAAGAAAAAAGTGGAATCTTTCTTTAATCTACTAATACAAATCAAAGTTATGCATAAAAGGAAAAGTCAACTCCAGACAGACTTTATAATATGGATGAAAATAGTTTATCAACAGTTCAAAATGGTCATATAAAAATCATTAGTGCAAGGGGTAAAAAACGAATTGAAATTATGACAATTAGTAAACGAAGAAATTCAGTCACAGTCGTAGTTTTTGTATTTGCAGTGGGGTTTTATGTTCCACCAATGTTAACATATAAACGCAGAAGAATGAATCCAGATATAACAAATGAAGGTTTTTTAAATTGACTCAATCATTTCATTAAAGTTGTTAAACCATCAAAATAATCAAACGTTTTGTAGATGCTTGATCGTCATGCTACACATGCAAAAGAATTGGCGATGTATCTATTCCGAAATGCTGAAGTGCATATGGTATCACTACCTCCCCATACTACACACAGACTGCAACCATTAGACGTTGCGTTCTTTGCATTTTACCATTTGGTTCATACTATGATGAAGCTATGTGAAAATGGATGCAGTCACATATATCACAACCAGTAACAACAATTCAAGTGGCAGAACTGTTTGATGATGCGTATAGTCAGGCAGTATCATTAAAAATTGCTATGAAAGGATTTCAGGCTAGTAGGTTGTGGACTTTGAACATAAATAAATTTATTGATTCTGATTTTACATCCTCTTCATTTACTGATATTGGTTTTTCTAACAATCTTCAGCGATTTGAAAATATAGATGGGATGACAAAACCATCTATCGATAACTCAAGTAAAAAAAAAATTAAATGTCATGTTTCAGTTTCAACTTTGTCTCTTTTGCCAGTGGTGTCACTTGAAGTAAAATACAAAAAAAGAAGATTAAAAAAAACTTATCTGACAAGATCATAGAAAATCTTACAATATCTCCATATAGAAGTGCTTTAGAAATTACACCAAGAAATCAAAAGCGCACACTAAATCTAATAACCTCCAAACAAATTTAAAAATCTACAAAAAAAAAAAAAAACATCAAATCTAATAATTGCCAAACTATTGCAAAAGCTACAAGAAAATAAAGTAGCACCTGACCGAATCACCACCAACAGAGTGAAATATCCGAAAAACAAAAAGAGCACATCAAATTAAATCACAAAACCACCACAGCACACTATAAATCACCTCCACCATACCAAGTGCAAAGGCTACAAGAAAAAAAGACTTATGAATTGCGAAAAGAAGATTAAATATTTGTTGTAATTTTTATTTGTTGAAATATCTTTTAAGCATTTTTTATCAAGAAGTTATTTATTTAATTTTTCCTCTAAGCCATGTGTTTTAAAGCTGTAATTTATTCAAATGTTAGAACTGTTCCAATTAGTATTCATTTGTTTAAGCAAAAATTGAAAATTACAAACTTTTTACAATATACAAAATTAGGTTTGGTGTCACTCATTTAGTTAAAAACTAGTCATTGGACACCTTAATAAAATAAACAAAAAAAAAAAAAAAAAAAAATCCACAGTATTGTTACTAAAGAAGCGTAAATTAAATTAATTTAAAAAAATAATAACAATTAAGCTATTAACATTAAGAAATTAAATAAAAAGACAAAAAAAGTATGAAAACACTCAATTAATAACAACAGTGAACAACAATAAAAATAATTAGCAACAATTTCAAAAATAATAACAAACTTTACGCAAACGAAAAGGCAAGCACAAAACTACAAAACGAAAGCAAAAACTACTTAACGAAAAGGCAAACACAAAATTTTCTACAAAATAAAATAAATTAAACTTGTTATTTTTTGGTGGAAACAGAAAAGCGTAGAAAATTTGTAGCGATTTCTTTTTGTTTTAATTAGTTCTTTCATTATTATTTTTAACATTTTTCGAACTTCTTTTCTTTTACATATGACTTCGCTTTTGATTTGTTTTATTTTATTAGTTTGTTTTACTTTTTTATTCATTTTCTTGTTTTATTTTTTCTATAATCTTTTAGTTCGTTTATACTATTATATTTTTGTTAATTTATTTTTGACTGATCTTTTTTATTTTTTTAAATAATTTCTTTCGTTTTTTCTTTTTTCTTTTTTCCCTTTTCACCGTAAAATAAACGCTTCCAACATTTGCGATGTCGTTGCAAAGGATTGCAGGCGTGTAATCAATATTAAGGAGTCTATGTGTTTTAAAGGGATTTTATCGCGTTCATAAAACGATGGAAAAACTATACTTTGTTTTAGTTAAACTAATTTATAATTTGTTTGCATTAAACCATTCTGTGAGTTTTAAGAGTTCCTTGAGGTGTAACTATGAAGTATTAAAGTCACTCCATCATTTCTACCTAAAAGGTTACGCTTAACTTTACTTTTTTACCTTTGTACTTTCTACTTTTGACTTATTTTTTTATTTTTATTATAGTTTATTACTTTATTATAACTTTTGTTTAGGTATAGGTGCATATATAAATGTACATTATATTAATTATGTTATATATATTCTAAGTCTGATTTTTTGGTATAATTAAATAAGTTTTTATGCAATTTTACTTTTATTAGTTAATATTATGTTAACTTATTTAACTTAATCTACTTTTTTATGTGGTTTTACTTATTACATATTATTATTAATTTTATTATTATTCTTTATCTCATTTAGGTCATTGCGCTTTATATTGAATCGCTATTTGCAATGACCTGTGTTTTTGTAACATCTGTAACACGAAATATATTGTTTTTGTTGTTGTTATTGTTGTTAATAAT